AAGAGATTCGTCAATTGGCTTCACCGGATACCGGAATAGGGTTACCTTGAACTTATGAATAAGGATTATGCGGAGAAAACCTCGGTTCACTATCCTGCGACCTCGATGTCTAGTGGTGAAGTTTCAGGCTCCGATGATCTCTTTGGAATGACGGACGAAATTTATCACGGATTTATCGGGGTCGCAGGACCGAAAGCTGATCCCTTCTCATAATTCAACAGTCACAAGTCCAAGGCAACCCTCCTTCGGTATCCAATGAGGCCAATCTACAAATCCTCTCCACCCACCTTTTTAAACGAAATTAATGGTATTCCAGTAACAATATTACCGATTAATTTATAATCCAATCTTCAATCCCTCTTGATGGTATTTTTGCTCATGTGGTACAGGTAAATGAACTGATCCTGTGTGTATATATTTATTCATATAAGGTATTTTTGGCTATGTGGAGCGAAAATGAGAGGGATTGGGACAGAATAACTGGGTCAAAATTATCACTTAAGGATTTAGATCAGTAACATGTAGCATCTAGAAATACCCCTGGCCTTCGTCTAGATGCTGGTAAAATAAATTGTTTGGCTCCAGACTATGCAGTATGGTTATGCTCTCAAAAACATTCCCGTAAACAGGATCAATTAAAAAGCTAGATTAATCCATTATATATTTCCTTATAATTTAACATCTATCGACATATATAAGTATGAAATTAATCCTTTGTTCTCAAAATCTCACCTTAACTGCTAATTTCATATTTAGCAATATTGTAATACATGAGTAATTTCCAATAATACTTGCTTACATGGACATCCATTACGGCATTTTAACTACATTTAGGCTAAGTCCACAAAAAACTTTTATTATTATCCCTAACTTAAGCTATATATTCCAATATAGAAAGTATCAGAGAGCCTAATAAAAACATATCTATGAAGTAGAAATTTAACATTAGTGGATACTTTTTATTTAAGTATTAGTCTGACCAATGTTTACTCAACTAATCATCAACTAGGAATTAAAACTATATTCCTATATCCTTTTGCAAAATAAATATATCTAAATATCTTATTTAAGGATAAAATCTAAGCAATTGTATGCCTCACAAGAGGACGTACTTATCATACAAATGCCTAGTAATCCAAATCCAATACCATCTAAGAATGAACTGACTTAGTTTACTAACCTTGATGCTGTTATCAAAGGCATAGGCAAGCGAGATTGTCAAGCACCCACTGTCGTAGTAGTCAGGATAATTTTCATCATTGGACTGTGTACTTGGTACAGTCCCAGAGACAATTTTGAAAGAGAGCTTTTGTTCAATGTGATACTTATTTACAATTAAAATTCTCCCCCTAAACTTTAGAATACTTTTACTTTTAACTTTAATTTTTGAATGATTTATCTTCGCTCAAGTTGTCTGCTCAGTTGATAGTTCACTTAAATAAAATGGAGCTTGTCCATCTATGTATGTATAGTGTATAACTGATTGGATACGGGTAAAATAGTTAGCCTTGCAGACCAAATGCACCATTTATTGGGCATAATTTATTTGGCCATCCTTAAGTTTGCTGCTTACCCACAAATATATTTTTGAACTTATAACCGAATATGCGGCACCACATGTGTCGAAGTAGAAACCCCCGAATGGAAGGGCTATGCATTCCAAAATAAGCAATCGGATGCTCTCTTCGCAATTAATAATATTAATTTATACAGAAAATAGTTACCGAATGCAGTTAAACCTTAAATAGAGATGGCATATTCACTTAGAAAAATACCAAGGCTATCTGTTTTGACGTAAGTTCTAATTTTAGCTGATTCACAAGATATACTGACGCAAATCAGAACCCAAAATCGTTGAAACAAATGTAATTTATAATATACCAAGATATGACGTATTCATGGTGTGTTTATTACCTGCAGGCACTATATACACTATTTGCATCATCTGAGATGTGGATGACTAAGGAAGCAATGTTTTGAAGTTTTTACTCTTCGGATAAATTGCAAATGCCTTAGTGTTATACAAGTGTATTTTTAAGGGGTTGATTGGGATTTAAATGAATAGGGTCCATTGACTGGATCTTCTGAAACTCAATGCTAGGCACCGGAACAGTACCATTCATGCAAGTATCTACATTGGAACTAGCAAGTTGCTCTTCCTCCTCCTCCGGTATATTCTTGTCATAATGTTGAAGAAGGACCTTTGAAGTAGTTCCTTCACCCTTCCCTATTTTAAGCATTTCTACGTTTTCTAATTCGATTTGGTTATCATCGTGGCCCTTGTTTGGCCGAATAGGCTCCTCGTTCTGCATAACATTTCTCAGCTCACCAAGTGAATGCTCACTTGTTCTTTTTTCAAAAAGTATAGCATGCTTTATTTCTGTTGAATCTAAAATGCCCTCTCCTTTTTGCTCGATTTGTTTTATCTGTCCAACTACTGTATTGGAATGGAAGCGTTGGCTATCCTTATTTCTGAAAGCATTTTTGTTTTCCTTTATTTCTGTATCCTTTCCGTTAAATTCAAGTGCATTACCTTTAGTTTCTTCTGCATCGTTATTAATCTGAAGTAGTCCTGACTTTGCTTTGCCCCATTTTAGTTTAGCTTTCTTGATCTGCTTACTGCAAGCAGAGAGGAGTACATCATCGCTTACTCCAGGTTGTTGTGCTGGCGTTAGCTCCCATTTTACCTCCTTCTCAACAAGAAGCTGTTCGGTCTGCGATATTTTTGAAGTTTCGAGCGTCGTCAGCTCTTCAGCAAGCCGACTTGTTTGGTTTTGCCACCTAACTAGATTTTTTGTTGCCAAGACAGTCTTCTTCTTCCTAGTAAGCACTTTATTAGGACTAGGTCTCCGCATTACCGAGTTAGCATTGTAGCTGGCCGTATATGCATCATCTTTTAAGCATCTAAAGCATACTCGGCAAAATTGCAAAGCAGCCAGCCAGGAACTTAGTTTCCTGTGCAACAGTCGACGAAAGCGTCGTCCAACAAGGCCATAAATGATGAAATTGCTGGCGAAATTAATAAATGCTGTGAGTAAAGCTATTGAGTAGAGTATCTTGTCGAACTCATTTGGAGTTAAATTTTCAATTACCCTTATTGGCGGCAGATGATCTCCCGAGGTGTTCTGGCCAATTTCCGAGATTGCTGTCTCCAAAATATCATCATTTGCTTCCTGTTCCCGAATGGTACGATAAACACTACTGAAGAAGACTATCGAGGTAGGCGTCTCACAGAGGATAAATAGCGTGATAACACAGATCAATGTAGCTGAAATGTTTCGATGCTGCTGGTATCGTCGCGAAGAATGCT